TCAGTTTCTGGTTGTTATCAACCCATTTTGCACCTGGAGAAGAAAAGAGAATAACTAACTACTTCAGAACCCAGTGGAAATGTTCCAGAGAATGTAATATCATGTCACATAAATCTCTGTAAAGGGAAAAATCTGGTATGCAGCACTGGTAAGTAGCAAACAAAGCTTGTGTGCTAGGATGGAGTAAATTATCCAATTAGTGATTCATAGGAGGAAATTTTGTCTGGAAGGATTTTCAAATATTTGAAAGCAAAGAAACAAACAAAAAAACTGATTACCATTTTTTAGATCATTTTCTAAAGAGAAGTCTTAAAAGATAGAAAACATAACTGGTTACTATGCTATTACGGTTACATACATACGTGTGTGTATTTTTAACTCAAACAATTTTGTTTCCTTGACTGTTGTACGAGCACAAAACATACCCCTTTTCTCTTCAGATCCCACCTTCCCTCACTACTGCTGTTTTCTGTCTATTCCCATCTCTTTATTTCTCCTTTGCTTTTTGCTGCAGTTCCTGAAATACAACCACAGGAGAGAAACATAGATTTTAGAGTTGAAAGGAGCCTTACAGGATCATCTGGTCGCCCCCCATATTATTCTCCACATTTTACTGATTAGAAAACTGAGTCCCAGAGTGATTAAAGGACCTGCCAAATCTTGCACAGCTACAATAAAGAGGATACACCACCCTCTTCCACATCACCTTGTTTTACTTCCAGGGACTTATCACTACCTGAAATGATCTCACCTGTTATTAATTTATATGTATATTCACAGTCTTCAAACACTGGAATATACATCCATGGATTTAAGGGCCTTAACCATTAATACCTGAATTCTCAGTGCTTAAACAATGTCTAGCACGCCACAGGAATTCAGACAGATTTGTTGAATAACGGACGAGAATATTGCTCTCTTGTTTCTGTTGTAATGTAGATGTTTTTAAACTACACCAAATTATCCTATGAAAAATAGTATAGAATAATTCAGGCTATCTGAATGGCTCTATCTAGCTACAGTCTATCATAAACATTACCTAATTTATACATTTTAAGATGCAAAACTATCTAGTGAGTATTAATGTTTTCAACTTCTTGAGATTCCTAGGTAACCTGTGCTTCCTTTAGATGCCACAGGGCAAAAGAAAGTCCCTGAAATGTGTTCATTTGGGGAGCAAATACTACTGACTGTTCGACTGATAACCATGCTCACTTTATACCTGACAAAGACAACCTTGATTTGGTTGGAAGTTGGTAAGGGTCCTGGTTGAAAATATTTACTTTCTCCAACTCCTTTACATCAAGGGGCAGTCTTGTGACACAGTTCTGGCCCAAGAGACATCAGTTGAGGGGTTCTGGGATAGCTTAGCTTCTCTACCATAGATTCTTTTCCTTTCGTTCCCACTGGCCTTTTTGCTTGGAACAGACCAGATGCCTGGAGCAACAGTTTTCCTGG